AAAGAAGTGCAGGTGACCGACCGGCAAGGTAGCTCAGCTTCTAAGGTCAAATTTCAAAATAAATGAATAATTGTCGGGAGAGTTTTTTCATTTCACAATGAAACACTCGTACACCTCCTTACGTTCCGCTCAAAACTCTTTGACATCGGCGTAATTCTCTGGTGCGGGAGAGAGCGCTGTGTAATAAAGTATAGATCTGTATCCGGGGTTGACGTAAGACCGAACTTATGGTAACGGTCCACAGTGTGAGCACAGTACGAGACGTCTTTGAAGAACTACAGTCCCTGTCGAGTATCTATGACCTCGCTTACAGTCCGCAACAGTTCCTTAACACTCTGTGGTAAAGCTAATGGTAACAGTTGTGAATCGCAAAACTGCCAAGAGGTTTTCATTTCACAATGGAACACTTCACCTCCTTAACCGTGCAGGCCGCTCCCTCAACAGTTCCCCTTAGATGGGCGGAAGTACTCCGTGATAGAAGCCTATGTAAAATTGTGAAAACCTGGAAAAAATACCCAGGAGGTTTTTTGTTGAGTCTGAAAAAGTCTCACACCTCCTTGACGCTCCCCTCAACAGTCCCCTGAGATGGCGGAATACTACGTGTATAGTAAACTCATATTACAAAAAGTAAAAAGATGGGAAAAATACCTTGAGGTTTTTCTGTCAAAAAATAAGGGAAGGAGAAGACAAAGGGACTAGCCTCTACCGTTTGCGGCTGGGCGGTAGCTCCCGAGGCGGTCGGCCGAGCACGCCACGAGACCACGAGCAAGGAGGCTTGACGCCCAAGCTGAGACTTAACCGCCCTCCCTGCTCCCTTTGCAGCGCCCCACAGACACCCGAGACGACTCAGGACGCAAAGTGGCCCTGGACCGAGCTTTTGAGCTTGGGACTAGTCACGCCACAACGCCCGTACGCGAGGCCCATGTCTGTAGGGGACGAGTGAGCGCACAACGCACCGACGCACCCCATTGGACGCACAGGCATGGGATAAATCCGCCGTTACCCTACAAGGTGAGAGCCCTCTGCTGGCTGAGTCACCACGCAATCGGTTTCACTGTCTGGATAGAATGTCCGTTACCTGCAGGTAGTCCCGCTGCTGCTCGTCACCACGCCAATCGGTTTCACTGATCTGGAAAATGTGCTCGTGTTTGCGTGTGCCAGTTAGGAGCCGTGCTGCTGCATTTTGCACCATCTGCAGGCGAGCAAGGGAGGATGCACATTACAATAATCCAAGCGGGAGGTGACGAAGGCATGGATTAGTGAATATTACTGTTTATTCAAAGCCCCCAACTACATACTTTTTTTTCATATTTTGCCTGAATAAACCTCTTCTCAGGACTTTGAAGGCATTTGCAGAACATGTTAGATTGACAGCTCCCTTACTTCTACTACACTTGTTAGGGCAGAACAACTTGCACATTTTTCAAGATATTTTGACCTCATGCAATTCCAATAATTAGTCTTCCCAGTGTCACCCTATGGATGTCTATAGCTAGAATGACTGCGATCACCTATATATGCAAAGTAACTACTTCTTTGTGTCAGCAAATATTTGTTTCCTTTCTCTGCCAGAGGCTTTAAACACGGTTTCCCTGTGTGCATCTCTCCCTCTCTCAGATGGTGCCTGGTGGTGGTGCAGTTCCTACAATGCAGCGTATCCCCCTGCCAGGGGCCGAGATGCTGGAGGAGGAACCTCTGTACGTCAATGCCAAACAGTACCACCGCATCCTGAAGAGAAGACAGGCTAGAGCCAAGCTCGAGGCTGAGGGCAAGATCCCCAAAGAAAGGAGGGTAAGGACAATTAGTGGTCATCATGTACCACACATGCAAACACATTTAAGAATCGATGATCATGAACTTAATCATGGCCAAAATGATAATCAAAGATATTTTGATCAGTTACAATTAATTGATATTTTCATTGCATTTCCACAGTTAAAAAAATACAGCACCTCTTTAATTAATTCTCATTTAATAAAGGTAATTTCTTACAGTCAATAACACCTTACCTCTAGTGCAGTGTTTCTCAAAGTGTGGTCCGCGGACCAAAACAATGGATGTCTTTTCTGAACATTTATCCATGCTGGAAGTAGATTTAGATGTTTTAGGAGTTAGATAGAGATTATTATCTAATATATGCATCCGATGAAGCCTTGCATGAAGTCTGTTGATGAGTCAGAGGCTGTTGTTGGGGCTGCAAAAACGTTTTTTTATTTGTTTTTGTAGGCAGACCATGCAGTCCAGCCCAATGGTCACCAAGGTTCATGTTTTAATAGCACTTTTACAAAAAAAGCCCAGGCGAGCCTAACATGTGAAAAAATGGCTTAGACCCCAGAGAGTTAAACTTGGGCCTGCGAGCATAGTTTTACTGTATTTTGTTTTGAAAATCCACAGCGGAGGTTTGTGTCGTACTACATGCGGTGTATTTAGCATATCTCTCTGTAGCCAACGATCTGTGAGTCTGTTGGCTCGGACATAAACTTCGTAATAAATGTAGTCTACATTTTACAAGAGGTTTAAAACCTGTGAGCATTTTAAATCGCATTTGAACAAAAATGTTTATATAATTTGTATTATTGATTTAATGTGTGAACGAGGCGATGTAGAGAAGGTTAAACTGTAATTTCTAAACTGTTGGAGTGGTAAGCAGATATTTGTGGATTCAGGTGCGAGTGTTTTTTTTTATTGGTTAAGTGGTCCTTGGTATGAAAAAGTTTGAGAAACACTGCTCTAGTGGTAGATAACCATGCACTGGGGGGAAAGTACACAAATGTATTTTGTTTTCTGGGAGTATTTTTTAATAACCTTTGGATCAGCGCTGTTGTATATGTGTCTCACATTTGTCATGCTCTTGTACTACTTATTTTCTAGCAAAAATACCTTCACGAGTCTCGCCACCGCCACGCCATGCAGCGCAAGCGAGGCGATGGAGGACGTTTCTTTTCACCTAAAGACAAGGAGGAAATGGCTTTGGCTCTGGCACAGGTAAGAAATAATACATTTTCATCTAAGAACGGACAAACTTTCTTTTGAAAGATTTTTTTTTTTAAATCATTTGTATGGAATTAGGGCATAAAACGCCTCATGAATTATCTTGCTGACCTCACTGATCCTTTATCCTCCTCTGCAGCAACAGCAGGAAGCGGCCCAGGCAGCAGGAGAGGAGACGGTGGCTCAGATGATCCGAGTCTCATAGCACCGCCGCAACACTTCTGCCTGTGAACTCTGCGCTGCCTGAAACTCTTCATCCCAGCTAACCTGATCTGCCGCACCTTCTTCCCTCACTTTTACTCTCTCCTGCCTGATTGTCATATGCCAAACGCCAGCGCCACCACTAGATTTCTTCTGATATCTCTCCCTTCATACACTGGTCTTCCAGGGAGTTGACTGTGTGGCTGCTTCTCTGAAAGGGAGGGTCCTTTCCTTCTCCGCCTATCTGGTTTAGTGTTTATAAACAGGTTTTCATTTTCATAATGATTTCTTCAGATTACTGAAAATGGAAGTTATGGGTAACTAGGGCTAATCACACTTCAAATAACCTCTGTGAAGCCTTGTCGGACCCTGTTAACAAATTCCTATTTGCTACCAGTGAATAATTATTGCTTTTAAATATTTTTTGTAAATGGTACAGATTTATTTTCAGAGACACTCATTAAGCATGGCTTTAACCTTTTATGTGATGCCATATATTTCCCTTTTTTTCAACCCATTTACGGTGGGGGGCGGACTCGGCATCATAAGTCCAACCTGTTTCCACTGAGCAGAAAATGAAAAGAGAACTAATGTGAACATATTGTACAGAAATTTGTTTTCCCCCCCTCCGTGTGTATCTGGTGTACTAATTAGTTTGCCCATTTCTGTGGATTCATTTTATACAGTTTGTGGTTAGACAGTGTCTGTAGAAACACAATGACTAAATGTTTAATTACATACACATAATATCCATGTAGTTACTTCCTTATTGTTCTCAGTTGTTTTTTTTCATTGTAGATAATAGATTTTTTTTACCCATCAAATGCAGTACTGCAATGTTTTGTTCTTTTTATAATTGAAAAAGGGTCAAAGATTCATGAAACCTATGTCCATTAAATGTTATTAAGTGACTCAAGGTTGTTTGTGGTTACTCCTTCAATCCCAGTTTTGGCTAGTTAAGAAATCCTATGAATTCTATCCATTGGCATGCCGTAAAAGTTGTATTTCAATATTTTGCTTTTGGGTAGTTTAATCAACATAATATATATTATTTTTAGAAATAGTGTGCTAGAATTACGAAGTAGCCAGAAATATAAATGCTCAAGTTAAGTACAAGTACTCAAACTAGTTTTAAGTACAGCACTGATAAATATTGAATTGATATTCTGATTTATTTAGACTACACCAAATGGTAGAAACATAGAATAAAAACAGTAGTACAAAGGTAACCAGAATAATAAATATCTTATCAAGTAATTTGAAGAGAATGAACATTATTTGACAAGCATCTTGTTTACAAAATAGACTTGGTTTATCTGTCTGCAAAAATGTTGTCAACAATAAATGTTTTCTACTCTCAGTCTAGGGAGGTTTTGGCTCAGTGGTACGTGCACTGATCTTCGGATCACGGGGGCACTGGTTCGAATCCCGCTGCAGTCAACATTCCGCTGTGTCCTTGGACAAGACACTTCAGCCTAAATTGTTCATGTGGGGATTGCCCACAGTATTGAATGTATGTAAGTCGCTTTGGATAAAAGCGTCTAACAAGTAAGACATGTAATGTACCGAATGTAACCATGGTTATTTGTTCACATTCTAACAAACTGATATTTTTCCCCAAAAAAGTTATTACATAAATGGCAAAACATATGATTATTTTCCAGATCTTTTTATCTTACTGCATTTTTATGAATCTAGGTATTAGAAACTCAAAAGTACAAATAGCTTGGACATGGCTCCTGTTTTTCACAAAGGAGACACTTTTCAATGTTAGTCCCGTTTCGATTTACAATGCAAGTCACATACTCTGGAGCTCCACTTCTGCAGGAACCTCTGCTCAATGATTTTAACCAAATTATTACCACCATTCAAATTGTAAATATTTGTATTTCTGTTAAAAGTGGCATAAAAATTGAACTTAATTAAATAAATGTGTCTCCCGATATGAGACAAAATCCTTTGGTCTGTTCTCTGAGCCACATCCCAGGTTTACCACTGTCCCGAGCAGGCTCTGCCAATCCGACGCTGTAGATTATAGACGTTGTATCACAGCAAGCCAATCACAGCGAAGGAGGCGGGACTTGTACTCAGCCTCCACTGTCAAAGCCAGGGTCATTTAAAAACATCAGCTATTGAAACAGAACATCTAGGTTACACTTGCACCGACTCACAAGTAGAAACAAATAAATGCAGTTCAATTAACCCAAGATAGCGCTGCTCTTGAAACCAGCGTCAGCCGTTACTTCTCCATTTTGCTCCGCACCGCCCACACGCTTCTGGTTCAGGTGACAGCCTCACCGCCCCCTCCCCTCCGAGATGTTGCTGTCTGTGGATGACAGCAGACCTGGAGTACAGAAACAAGTGTTCATTCGGCTCTTTTAGACTGTAGAGAAGGTTGAAAACGGGTTAATCTCTGTTCAAAGTGGGCTAATTATTGCTCTGCACTGACAGTGTACTGGAAGTGCTTCAGCGACGGTTCGGTCATTTTAAGCCACGAAGCTTAACGAAGAGAGAGCAAGAAGACGACGGACAAAGCTAGCGCTAACTGAATCACATTTATTTCTCAGTCTCCACATCTCCTGCATCCAACAATGACCGACTCGGTTGTAGACAGCAAGGCCGAGGTGAAACAAGCCACGAAATATGTTAAAGAGACCGAAAACGTAGCAGAGAAATATTCAGCGATGACTGTGAGCAAGAACAGCAGCGATGTGAACATGAACGTCGGGGAGATGCCCTCCGCAGCGTTCACCGCGGTGCCCACTCTGAAATCCGTCAAAAAGGTAAGAAACGAGATGCTCGCCATCACTCAGTGCCTCTGGGCAAAGAGACTGATCACTGTAGGCAGGCACATGTGAGGAGGTACGCATTTCACTACAGTGAAGTACTACCGTGCGTGCAGCAAGGCCAGGAAATGTACCGTTTGTTGAGTTATGCACTCATAAGAGACAGAAATGTTGCATGCGATGCTGCGGTGTCACACTGAGGGCGCCCTCCACCCCATGACAGGCTGCTAACAAGTTAAATGTTCCCATTTATATCAGTCAGATTTTAATAAGCATCTAAAGAAGTTAGTGCACAGAAACAAAGGCTTTGCTTCGCTGTTTTTCAGGTGCTTTCTGCATTTGGGTACTAAGGGTACACCATATACTTTTAAAGTAGTTTTCATCCAGATTAGATTAGGAAAAAAATGCTTTATTTGTATCAGAATGTCTGCATCATGCCAACATCCTGTGGGCAGGAAACAACTAAAAGCCAAGTTGAGCTCTTAAACCTCTCATCCAAGGCCTCTGCAAAGTAAAGTCATAAATGCCCTAACATACCTAGGCTTAGACAGGGGTCTGCACGCAACACAAGTGGTATTAAATGCTGTGTTGGCTTTGCCTTCAGAATAATCTCAATCCTCCAGGAATAGCAGGTGGTGGAAATTCCATTTTGAATAACAAAATGGTATCTATACTTTGAACTCATCCTTATGTCGTCATTCTTGATTTTTCACAGGAATATGTGTTGACATCATCATTGTTAGGAATAAGAACAGCATGATAGAAATGTTTTAGCAGCTCAAAGTGCGCATATGAGAAATCGCCTTGAATTTCTTGGCTGTTACACAGCTGTACCTAACAATCATCTGTAAGAAAGACTCCCTTGAGGTGCTGCTTTCAGATTTACCACGCTGTGTAACAGCTGGCAACAGGCAGAAGGTAAGCATGGAACAAATAAGTCAAGGCTCCATTATACTCAGCAGTAGCATTCTTAAATTTGCCATGTCAAAAAGGAATGTTCTACTTTCAAGGTGACCTTATGACACCTGTCCTCCTTACTGTGCCGCTTTGTGTTGGACACAACTGATCTAGCACCTCTTTTGAATGCATTGTTTATTAGTGTTAGGATTAACGTGAGTCATTGACCTTTTGGTTGTGAGTAACAAAAGCTGTTGTTTGGATTTGTGCATAAATTAGTCACAAGTATTGCAGAATTATGAAATGTGGTAAGTGGGTAAATCTCATGATGACACGTAGCCAGCACAGGAACACTGCAGTGGCAGAGGAAGTCAACGAATCGCAAGCAAACAGCAACATTGTGACTAAAACAGTAATGTTTAAGTTAAATACTGAGGAACAAACATGGGTCCTGCAAAACAGCTTTGCTCTTATATGACCTAGTTCTTCCGTCCTATCAATGTTTATCTGGTTCCTGTTAGATAAACTAACTAACAAACAAAGTCTCAAAAATCACCATGGATACGAAAATATCGGACACTCAACAAAACTACAAAATATGAGCTTCACCAATCTGAATTTGACTATTAATGTACCATTTATTTGTCAGTCCGTAGGGATAATAGATTAAATAACATAAGCATACTTTATTTTCCATTACATAACAGGAAATTGAGGATTTATTTGTCATTCTGACAACACAGTGTAAAACAAAATGTAAGAACATTGAAAAAATACAGTTAGGAGCTGCTAAAATACATAGAATGCATTATACACAATGATACTTCTTGTAAAGCTGCCTTTGTGAAATGATTGAATCAAAGTAGAAGTATGTCAACAAATTTATACATTTACAAAATAATCAGCATAATAAAGAATTTATTTTCCCAGCAGCGGGGCTCACAGACTTCAGAATATCAGCTCAGACCCCCTGTCTGTCGAGGCAATACTGTGTGGACCGCACTCACCTCGGGGAGCCTGATTGAAAACATATTGGATGGTAGGAATGTGTGCTCCGCTTATGAAAAACAAAGCAGTGTGTTATGAATAAACGTGAGAGCCCAGAGTCAAGCCGAGCCACCTGTTTGCCTGGAAAAAATGAATATGTAAAACAAATACTGAAAATGATTGGGAAACTAGATAAGATTATTTAAAATCCCTGCGAGTATCACACATAGAAAGAAAATGTCTGTTGAAGTTATGAGGCTGGTGCCTAGTCACATTATCTAGTGAGAGGTGCCACGAACAAAAAGTGTGTGTGTGTGTGTGTGTGTGTGTGTGTGTGTGTGTGTGTGTGTGTGTGTGTGTGTGTGTGTGTGTGTGTGTGTGTGTGTGTGTGTGTGTGTGTGTGTGTGAGAAAATCAAAAACCACTACTCTTCCTCCACTCTTTCTGAATCTGTTACACAACACGCCCCCTGGGATCACTCATTCTCTGTGAATCTGTTCATGCATCATCATCATTTCTATCTGATCCCTGGGGGGCTGTTTTACATACATTCTCAAACATATCCGCCACTATCTCATCTTGTTTGTCTGCCAACATTATGGCAGGGTTTCGTGAAGGTCAAATTAGATTTTCCTTCCCTCCGGCAGTTTAAACATAGATATGGATATGTTCAGTTTATGTTATAAAACGAAATGGACTCCCCTTAGCCCAGTGCTTCTCAACCTTTTTCTGTCATTCCCCACTTTGAACAGGTGGGCCTTTTCAAGCCCCACCTGTTCCTCATCGCTCCAATAAAATGGTAGGCCAAGCTTAAAATTGTCAAATGTATCGTTCTATAACAGGGGTCTCCAACCTTTTTTAGGATGAGAGCTATTCTTTCAAAAAATAAAACAAGTCGTGAGCTACTTTTAATCCTCTTTTTTGTTTTTTTGCAGTGTATATATTTAGCAAATGTTAACATTATTATATGCTTACCTTTAACCTTTGTGTGCTGTTGGAAGATTTTTTTTTAATGTTGAAGTTAAAAGCATCAATCTGGTGCACTTTGAGCACAAAATGAATGTATGTATACAGCTCTCAACACTCAGATGAAAGAGAGCTGTATACTTTTCAATAATCCAAACATCTTTAGAATATGATCACAACCAATAACAAATAATTTAAATTGGTTTATTCTTATCTTATGTTACCTAGTTAGCATTCTTTCTTTTTATTTATGCATATTTGACTAATCACTCCCCTTTTAAACATTTTTTTTTCTTTTTTACTGTCCTATAGTACACATTGGAATGATTTCTTACTTTATCTAAACTTACGTTATAGCATACATTATTACGAAGTTAATTACATATTAAATAGATAAAGGTTCTCTCTCTCTCTCTCTCTCTCTCACACACAGAGGCTGTGTGCTCCTCTGTGGCGATGACAGCTTGCGTTAAAAAAAACACGTGTGTTTGTGTGTGTCACATGATGTGTGTATGAGATTTTTACATATGTCTGTAAATGGTTTTGGTTTCAGTTGTGTGTGTGAGCAGGCTCGGATTGACCATCGGGAGATTCGGGACTTTTCCCGGTGGGCTGCTGCCTTCGGTGGGCCGCTGGCTCTGGCATAGGTGGTCCGTGGACTTTCACAGCGCCGCTGCGCCGGTAACGCATCCGCCGCCACAAACACCTGCAGTTGCGAATCTCCGGCGGTAACAGTCCACTACCGCCCGCGAGGACCCAGGTGCGATTCCGGCCGGAGGTCCTAAAAATAAATAATAATAATAATCTCCAATTCATCCGCGACCCACCTATCACATCTCTGCCCCACACTTTGAGAAACGCTGCCTTAGCCTCACACCTTTTGGATTAAAAACCTCAGTGCGCTTTAAGTCAGTCTATTTAAAAAACAACATTGACAACGCTTTCTTTCCCGTTTTCCAACTTAGTCTTCCACACAAGTAAAGTACTGTGTTTGTACCAGAGTGGGACCCCACATTAACATTGAGGGAAAAGTCACCATAAACTGAGAAATATAACACATCCATATTGACTAGTTCCACCATTTTCAGACTGTTCTCAGTAGTGTTTTTTGGTATTTTAAAAGCATCTTTTTAACTTAACTACAGTAGGC